ACGCCTCCCACCGCATCGCCGCCATGGCCGGCGAGATCGCCCTCCGCCGCCAAAAGATCCGCGACGCCGGCGCCGCCAGCATCCACTCCCGCCCCCTCGTCACAATCACCCACAAGTCCAACGTCCTCTCCCAGACCGACGGCCTCTTCCGCGCCACCTCCAAGGCCGCCCTCGCCGACCCCCGCTTCGCCGGCAAGGTCTCCGTCGAGGAGCAGATCGTCGACTCCATGGTTTACAAGCTCTTCCGCCAGCCGGAGGACTACGACGTCATCGTCGCACCCAACCTGTACGGCGACATCCTCTCCGACGGCGCCGCCGCCCTCGTCGGCTCCCTCGGTCTCGTGCCCAGCGCCAACGTCGGCGAGGGCTTCGCTATTGGTGAGCCCTGCCACGGCAGCGCCCCGGATATCCAGTTCCAGAACATTGCCAACCCCATTGCCACCATCCGCTCCGCCGCCCTCATGCTCGAGTTCCTCAACGAGGAGACCGCTGCCGCCAAGATCTACGCCGCTGTCGATGCCAACCTCGAGGAGGGCAAGCTTCTCAGCCCCGACTTGGGCGGTACCGCCAAGACCACTGAGGTTATCGAGGATATTCTCCGCAGACTGTAAGGTGGTGGTGTGATAGTATTGGATGGAATTTTATTTTTTTTATCTTGAGAGGCTAAACTCATGAGGACTGGATATGGCAGTCGACGTGACGGTAGTTGCGCCTTTGATACCTACCATTTTACCCAAAAGCATATGTTTCTTGACTTGACTTTAGCCAGTGTTCTCTGGATGTGCATAACGTCGAAGTGAAAAGACGTCAAAGGGCTGGAAGGAGAACAGTTCGTTCTGCTGCTCCTCCACTTATCAAAATCTGAACAGGGCCGACTCGACAATCAGCGATTCCATGTCGGTCCACAGTGGACATGGAATAAACTCACGAATAAACCACAACCACTCCAACCCTGCCTCTATAGGCCGGAATCCTCGGATGGAAAGCAATGAGCGCCGTTTGAATGTGTCTATGACCTAGTGGCGGACGTATTTACGCATAATTGGGTCCCGTAAGGGTTGCGAGTTCGAATTTGGTGGTCCTACATAATGCCACAGACAGCTCTTTTTTTTTTTTTTTTTTTTGTATGTTTTGATATGATTCCCGAAGAACCTCAACTTGAAGGGAAGCACTACATGGACATGATTTGTTTGCAGAAAATCAAGAAAGTCTTGTATTAGGGGGCGTCTATGCCTTGTACGCAGCACGCAGTTCGTCTCTCTATGGACGAAGATGGGTATCATTTCTCACCAAAACCACATCGCACCAACTATCGCTCTTCCAAAAGCCCCTGTTTCTGTATCAAAGCTCCTCCGCTGTATTCCATTATCTGCAACTGCCTCGTTGATGTAAAAAGTCGCGTAGCCAAAGAAGATCTGATGCCGCCTCAAGACCACTCGGACTTGCGCGGGTCGAATCTGCGGCAGTGACCACACTCGCAGATGAAGCCGTACTTGTAGTAGAGCACCGAAGGGTCTTGACCGTATGAGATCGTCAGCTCCTCGCCCTCTTCAATCACCCAGTCCCTGACAGTGAACACAAGAGACTCGTGACTGGCACGGTACTTGTAGTCAATCTTAGGCAAGCATGAGTGATTGAATCGGCCCGCGACGGCGAAAAGACCAGGCATGTTCCTCTTATTACCCGACTTGGATGGGACATATGCCGCGAAGCTGTCATTCAGTCAGGTTTAGAAAGTTGAAGAGAGAATGGGAAGGACCAGGTGACCTACGCGTTCGTGTTCCAGACCGCTTCCTCGTGAGTCTCGCCATCCCGGCCTTTGTGGCCAAACATGTTGTTCGCGATTAGGCGCTCCTTCTCCGGCAAAGATCTTACAGACGTGGTCACGTCTGCGTAAATTGCATGGTAGAGGGCCTTTTCGACGAGGATCTGGTCGCCCTGGTACAGCTTCTTACTCGCGAAAGCGCCCCAGCCAGCCGTAGGAGACTTGCGAACCTCGAAGAACTCGTTCGAGAAGATTGACAGCCTCTCCTTGGTGTCTTTGGCGTTCTTGTAGGTTGTGAGAAGCGGCAGTTTAGCGGGCTGAAGAAGGATTGGGGATTCAAGCTTGCCAAAGCCGTTGCTTCAAGTTGTTAGGATAGGCAGGTGGTTTTTGATTGAGAAGACTTACCCTTGGTATGGCCCTTCGGAATTGACGCTGCTGGCACTTGAGCCTTGCGACCAATAGCCCTCCTCAAGTTCGTAGTCCTCGTCATCATCATCATCATCGTCTCCATTGTCATCACCATCGACCACAATGCCTTGCGCAATGTAGACAGTCTTCCAAGTAATCTGGGAGTATGGGAGAGGGGGCAGTATTGAATCGATGAATGCCTGGAACTCTAGGAATTCAATTTTTATTCTCTGTGTGTGATAGCTGTCAGCCCGGTCCTTCTATCTTCGGATTCCAAGGTCGCACTTACCTCAAGCGGCTTGCTCAGGCTCAGGATATTATTAGCCATTTTGGCTTCGACGGCAAGGTCAAGGACAGCATGAAGGCTGTGTGTGTCGGTGTGAAATTTTGTCCGGACTTGAAAGTCGACAAAGGAGTCGTCGCGGGCCATGACATGTCTGTGAGGATAAATCGCTCCAAGAGGGAAAGAATTAATGACCTCCATGGTAGAAATGAGGTAGGTTGATGATGTAGTTGGATGATGTAATTGGGAAGTTCACACTCAATGTGATCCCGGGTGCCCAATCTCTTAAATATGCTCTCCTGCGGTCGCTCTTGCTTGTTTTTCTTCTTGAAGCAATCAAGGGAAAATGATCGGGGATGTTGTTGCTAGAGGCTGGAAAGTATAGCTCGATGCTGTGGTTCCAAGAACTTATCCTTGTTTGTGTGGTCGGTGTTGGGGATTGGTCTAGATCAAACGACCGTAACCAAAATGAGAAAGAAACAAGTGTTGGCTGCACAGAACCTATTTTCGTCAGCAAAATTTCAGTTGCTAAAATGTTGCTGCTCTCGTTGTCAAGCAATCATATCACGGTATGTCAACATACCGAAAGAAGTGTGTGCCAGGATTCACGTAAGACGAATATACCCGGCGGATATTCAGAAGCAGAAGCCTGGTGGGAACAAAAAAGAAACAGAAGATAACCAACAACCTCAATGTTGTAGAAGTCGAAGAAAACTGTTGCTTAGTTGTCCCTGTTTTGAAGCAAAAATCTCAAAAGCTGAGCAGAGGAGGCGAAGACCTAATGAAGAGTGAAGAGAAGATTCAAAGAGCTTTGGTTAATTGAGGCCGTTAAGTAGCTTGGATGGCTTTATATTCAGCCCATCGTATTCATTCCTTCCTTTCCTGATCTGATGGCCAAAGTTGGGAGGTACGACCCACCCGATATTATGAGATTAATCCTCACGGCAGGGGCGAGCAATCGCAGGTGGTAGTTTCCCACATCATGTTTTATAAAAGTGAAATAAATACAACCAAAGAAACAGCGTGAGAGCCTCATAACTTCGATTTATTCAAAAATTCTTCTATATAAACCACGACTTCTTTCATATGGTTGTGGTGAAAGAACAGCAGGTATGGATCGTTTCTCAAGAGGGAGGGAACCGGGGGCTAAACCTCAGTCTGATTGCAATTTGAAGTCAGTCACCTTTCACTAAATTAATCATCTTGAGTACTGATGAGACTTGAGACTTTCGAGTATTACTCAAAGCACATGTCTCCAACGATGAGGTCTCCCGAATAAGGATGGAGGGGCGTTCTTGAGGCCAGAGACTCAATAGGTCAACCGACCCTTTAAGGCAGTATCTTTGAGAACGAAACTCTCAGAAGAAAGCCATCTGTCAGCACCTCGGATTCTTGAAACCTCATCTTTACTTCCTGCAAGTCTCGCTTGGAAAGGGCCTTTGAGTAGGTAGGTAGGCACATCCTCTTTATATATGTCTTTCCTTCATGTAACCACTGAATAGTCTTGAGTTGACGACAACGGAGTATGCAATAGCAACATGAACGAAGGAAAGAAACGCTGACAGAACGAGAAGCACAATAACAGAGGATCATCCAGTAGAATCATTGGCTGAAGAGCCTACTTGGATGGAATCGCTTCAGCATATGTGGTTGAACCCAACCCGTCAGCTTGAGCTGTGCCGCCGTACCGATCCAGCCACTCGACTGCCAGCCATCGGCCGCCCCAAACCCACGTCAGCGTCTCCTGGTGTAGAGAAATGGCGTCCGAAAACTATGGCAGGCAAACAAGACGACAAGCCAGGCACCGGCCGGCGCTACGCTCTGCATGTGTTACAACGCAAGCCCGGAACCGGAAGACGAGCCGACTGCGACAATGCTGCTGCTAAATGCAAGTGTTCATCCGTCAACCATGGCCCAGGCGTAACGTCGCAGATTTCAGCCAGCGCCCTCAACAAACCGGGCGTTGCTCCCGCGTTTCAAACAAACCGCAGGCAGGGAGCGCGCTCGGTCCAGGAGGTATTTGGCCTGAGCAGAAAGCCAAGCCTCGTGGGAAATCGAGAAACATTCTGACAGACACCGCAGATCAAACTTGCGTCTTCGGAAGAATATCAGCAAAGTGGTAAAGTTGCGCAAAGGTGAGGGACAATGTGAAGCAATAGTTCGCACGGTAGTGTGTGCCTATGACTGCTTTGGCTGCGCTTGTCAAACCCATTTGCCTGTCTAAGAAGACACTTATCCATGTTGACTTACAATTCCAGAGAGAGACAGAGAGAGGCTGTGGATCTGACGCTGCGACAATAAGCAAGGTTTCGACTTCTGAGGTCTAAAGCAATGAGTCACTTGTGTTCCGATATCCACAATGTCTAGATGCGCGTTCTTCGGGGAACCAGCCGGGAGGAAAACTTGACGTGTGCGTAAAGTACGACCCAATCGAGTCCGCCACGAGTTCTTTCGGGGCATTTGTTGCGCGCTTTGGCAGAAATAGTCCGGAGCTTATGCAAGGTCCTCCCGCCGGGAGTAGAAAAGACAAAGGTTTTTTGAAGTATGCAGGGACGAAGAGTAAGAGAAAAAAAAAGAGGGCGCAAGAGAGACGCTTGGTGTCGCGTAGAGACGGAGGTATTGCCTCACGCCGGTGCATGGCTAAGTCAAGCGAAGCATCGACAGACGGACACATGTCTTGAGTCGAGCATCATGCCTGATGACGTACCGCAAGGGTTGAAGGTTCGTGATGGGGTCAAGCATGCGTGGAAAGCAAAGCAATGTGGATGCAATCTGATGAGAAACGTTGCGTGTCCTGTCGAAGCTTTGCCCTGCTTTGTTGGGATAGGGATAGGGCTGATAACTGTCCAGCAAGAGTTGACAATGTCTAGGAGCATCCATGAAGACCTCGTCAAGTTCAAAGAAGGGAACATGAGGCGCAAGCGGGTGCGATGGAATTAGCCACACCAAGAAGCTGAGAGGGACGGGAGTTAAGATAGTCCTGCATTGGCTGGCAAGTATGCGCACCGCCTCGTTGGGATCGATGATCGCACCGAAGGAGTGGAACATTCCACGTGAGGTCCGGAGCCGGTAGACCGGCGGGTGATTCCTCGACTCGGACCCTTCCATGCCGCCCACTTTTCAAACTCTTGGTCAGGAGTCGCATCTTATTCCTTCGCACTGCATTTTCCAAACTCGATGAGACGCCCTGTCGGCCGTTTAGCCCTTGAGTTTGAAGAGAGGGAAAAAAAAGTTCTTTCTCTCGGCACTGACACTTCTGGTCAACCCACAGACGAGCGAATTTCCTTGCACCCCGGGGCAGGGTTGGTTTAGAGTCTTGGTGAGCAGAAACGACAAGAAACTGTGCTGGTCTCCATTCCGTGGACTCTGGAGTCTATCCGAGCTTCAGAGTTGCAAAGAAAGCTTCTCCTCCGTCCGGCCCCGCGTGCCGGGAGACCCGTTAGCATGGTCAGCCATGCCCGAAGCTCACGCCTCGTTCGGTGACTGGGCGAAGACGCAGCCAGGTAGCAAAGCTCAATGTTTCTGCTGCCCTCTAGGAAGGGTTCCGGGTCCGATGTTCAGGCTCACTTCATCATTTATCGTTGCAACTTGCTAAAGTCACTGCCCGATTTTCCATGTGTTACCCTGGTCAACTCGCAAATGGTTCCTTTTGCCCGTCTTGTGCCCGGAAGGGGTGTATCATGGCCCATCTGGTTCGCTTCCTCTCCCAACCCCTTGGGTAGTCTTGATCCGCCAGGCTTCCACGTCCGATCATCGAACGCAGCTAGAAGGACCGGGTCTCGCCAGGAACCCATGCCGCGGTGACCCTACTTCAGACGGAGAGCTACGCCCTCGGCCGAGTCTCAACAAGAGTGAAGCCCACATGCGCAGCAGGCACATGTCAAGTAGCTTGCCCCAATGCAATGCGCGAGCCTCTTTTTTTCTGTCTACACTTTTGCTCTTGTTGCGTTTCCCTTCTGCAACCAACATTCGTCCTTGCTTCGGCATTTCGTCATACGGTCCGATGGGATGCCATGCCATGCCATGCCCGCAGAACTTTCCTTCAGGGTGCAGCCCGCCGGGGAGATATACAAGCCATGGACGTCCCCGTCTCTTTCGAAAGGACGAGCTTTCGTTATCAACCACCCCATGATTGAATCAGTCCACTGTTATCAGAAGCATTACTCGCCTTCACTTGCAGTCTGAACATAAGAATGAGCCTTTCTTCTCACTGGTCTGCAGCTACTTTATCACATTTTTCCAGCTTCAACCATCAGACTCATTGATCGCTCATCACCAGCCGACTTGTCACCTCACTTTCCTCGGACCCATCATCTGTACATCAAGCAAGGTCTCTTTCAGGTAAATACATACCAACTCTTAGGACAGTAGAGCAATGTACTCATACTAGTCAATAGATCTCATCACAATGGACTACAGAAGCTCAAGTAGATCGAGCCGCTCAGGTTCTAGTCAGCAGTCAAGGCACCGAGACGCCAGCGGAAGACTCAACGAGGGCTCACATTACGTCAAAACCTCAAGTAGTGATCGATCACGCGAAGTTCCCCAGGGCCGCAGCGGCTACAACCGAACCCGCGAACATGGTCACGGTGTTTCACCGAAAGGCAGATCCGGATACAACTGAGTCCGGTATCGATCAACGCAGCCATTTTCTCCAGCAACTACAAGAAATCAGCAAGGATGAATGCAAATAGACTATACAAGAAAGGGTTCATGGGATAGATATTGGAGAGGAGGACACATTTTAGAACCAGAAGGGGGCAACCCATACGTAGAATCAAAACGGTGATTTCCAACGATGCAGGCAGGGAAAATCAGTATCAATAGAAGTTCTGATTGAATCAAGACTATTCCAAGTATCAAGGACCACTTCCCAGTCTAACAATACAGTATTTCCTACCCCTCGAATCCCACTGAAGTCCTGTTTTCCTCCAGTTTCCCCCCAATTTGAGAGCGTTTTTTTCCAATCAAAGTCAATCAAGAAGTATTAACGACCCACCAATGCTGCAACCAACCTTACATGCTGGACAAGAATGGAAACAAAAGACCAGCCGGCTAGGAGCATGAAATGCGCTTCCAATAAAGCCGAGTAACGACAAAAAAGCCATCCCATCAGGCTGAGCCCAGAACACCAATGAAGAAGAAACCACCCTAACAAGTTATTGCAAATAGCCACACCGACAACCAAATCCAGGCTAGACAGACAAGCATCTCAACTCTCACAAACAATTGTGGAAGCACGTCTATGTCTAGGCATCACACCGGAGGTCTGAAAGCACTCTTCACGAGACAGTGCTCACACTCAATGTACGACTCATTCGACGGCACCCAGTGCAGACGCCGACAATCACAGACCGACCACCTCTCTTCCGTCAGCGACGTGATGAGCTTCCTCTTCTCATACAAACCGTCCCTAACACCGCACTCGATACAGAAGCGACGTAAGAGACCTTCCCCATTCCGCAGTGTCGGAAGCCTCGACTGCTCCTTGTCACCATCGGCTTTGCCGGAGTACCGCCCGACGATACAACCTTCAGACGACACGACAAAGTAGTCGGGCAGCTTCTCGAAGGCGGCCTCAGGCTTGATCGTGTGGCAGCGATAGCACCCGTACCCCTTGGGTGAAGCTGCAGTACCACCAGCCTCCTGAGACTTATCCCTTGTTGTAGAGTTCCTCCTGCCGTCTCCTTTACCCTTACTTTCTTCCTTCTCCGGCCACGCGCAGATCTTGGGGAACTTTCCTTCAGCGTGGATGATGAAGGCCGTCTTGCAGGAGTCGGATGCGTACCACGACTGGTAGCCCTGGGTGCGCCAGTATGGCCCTCCATGTAAGGAGTCCCAGTCGACTTGGTCGAGAATCCGGTTTCGGAGGGCAGGGCACATGTCCTGGAAGAAGTGGGAAAAGTCATTGTATGGCCTGGGGAGAGTTGATCTCGAAAGGGCGGAGAAGGCGACGATTGGCGTAGGCGGACTAGATCCGGTTACAGATGCCTGGGTTGGGCTGGATGTCTGGTTTCGTTTTGGTGGTGTAGACGTTCGTCGATGACTTGGGAGGTTACTGAGGAGCCTCGGGCGTCTTGGAATGGGTGTAATGGATGGGTCTGAGGCTATGCGACGTCTTGGGGCAGCAGTCGAGCGACGTCTTCTAGCTTGGTGTTCGGCGGCTGAGAGTGCCATGTTGAAGGTTGTTAGATTTTCGGACGATGTTGTGTCTCTTGATTGATTCGATTGCTCCTTTCGAGTAGACGTTCTTGTAAGCGTTAGGTTCAAGATAACTTTCATAGACTGAACCAGGCAAACCTACGAGTAGGAGTTTACGAGAATGTCGAGACTGAGAAAAAGTTCAACGAAATTTCGTGTCAGGTGGGATGAAGATTCATATGGCAGATCGGAAGGATTTCGAGGTGTAGCCCCGGTCGTCCAGTTCTTATACACTGCCTGGGAGACCCAGATGCTTGGATATTGAATTTGCATGAAGGACGGGATGCCAGGCCATCTGAACAAGCGTCACGACGAAGCAAGGAGGAAAGAGGATGAGGAAGAGCCAAGCAAGGGCTAACAAGCGTACCCTGCACCTCCAACAAGAGAAGGAGACGAACAAGCACGCGCAGCAGCGGCTACACACCTGACAAGGGGAAGGGGGTATAAGTCTTGCAACTTGCAGATAATGCATTTCAAAGTGAGAAGTGGGCGATTCACTTACCTCTTTGGTTCATCAAGACTTACCGTAGCAACCTATTGCCAACGGCAAGACTCGAAAATCTTGAACTTCATCCCATTCGTATCCTTCCTTCTCATGTCTTTCTGCTTCTTCCTACATCCCGACCATCGGTCATTAGAGGAACCTCAACCATCTCATCTTCCTCTGCCATCGCTCTTGACACCACCTTCAGCCCGTTCCCGTCGGGAAAAGAATTTGCACACAAACACGGCCGCCCGAAAGCACCATGACATCCGCGGCTCCTCGGAGTCCCGATTCTTGTTGGTCGACTAGACGAGGGGACATTGCCTCAAGGCCTATCGCAGGCTCTGATACCCTCACCGGCCGGACCAGGGTTTCCCTGCAGTTGCAGATCGAAAGAGGCACCTAGACTAGCTAGACGCCATATCCAGACTGAGAGATTTTGACGGCACCATGGCACCATGGCACCAAACCACACGCAGGGGACGGGTGGAGGAAGAAGAGGAGAAGGGGATCCAGGCCTGGGTGAATACCTATTTGCCCTGCAGTGGCGTCATGCCAGAGAGGGAAGAAGTGGAGAGATGGGAGGGGGCTTTCACTTGTCAATTGGCATGAGGGAAAAGCAAAGATGGACGGACGTTCGATTTTCTAGTAGGCCGTGGGAGACTGTGGTAAGGTCTTGCACCAACAAGCGTGTTGCATCTGGCAAGGGGGGGTGTTCGACCAGGTTCTGGGGCTCCTAGCAGCCCGGGTTTTGGGACCGCATCTCTGTTGGCGGTTCCCAACTTCCTGGAAGTCTGATTTGAAAACGGCATGGAGAGACGATGGGGGGTGGTGGGCTTGTCCAGGACTGGACAAGTTGCACAATAGGGCTGGTCATGTAATACCATCAACCTTCCGCTCACCGGTAAAATATGCCCACTTCAAAGCGGACACTCTCCGTCGCATTGGTCTAGACAGCATCTATTATTCGAGACCTACATTAGGTAGAATATGCTTAGAGCAAGTTGTACTCAAGTTGAATTGCAGCTGTTTCTTTCCAAAGGGGATCAAGGGCGCGATCTTTCCAAGACATTATCGTCTAGCATACCTACTGAGGTTTCGGAAGCGGATCTGGAACACTACCTGCCCTCCTCTGCATCAAAGACATGTCTTCCCAAATAGGTAAACAATGTCGTTGATGGTGACAGGGGGAGGCGAGTGATGCCTGACGGGTCTCACGAGTCACACATCGACAAGCCAGCCCAACGCCACGAATCGTGAGGGCGGAATTGCGGATGGGGATATGCAACCTGCACAACCGTTTGTAAGTCGCGCATCATATCCTTCAACCACGTTCCCCCGTCACATCGTATAATGGTATTACACAACAAAGAGGCAGAGGCAAAGGCAGAGGACGGAAGCTCCCCGCTTCACTGCGGTCGACAATTATGACCAGCCGCTCGAATCGCTCAGGGTGCGCCCAGAGCAAACTGCATACGAGAGCGGAAGAAGGGAGATTACACAACGTAGCATCTGGTGTGATAAGTGTGACGACCCAGCGTGTCGGTTCCGGCGTGCTGGAATTTATTCAAATTCCTGAACGTGCCGCCTCCAACAACCTGGTGAGAAGTAGAAATGAGGTGAGTTGGGACGGGGGATCGGAACCCGCCCTTCCCTCCCCCTGCACGTTCGGCCGCGGGTCGAGGTCCTTCTGTCTCGACTCTCTCTTTCGGAGTTTCTCCCCTCACAGCCCTGCTCCCCTTGTTAGCGCTGGTCGCAAAGCCGCAAACAAACAAGCGGGAACGACGTTGGCAATGCTGGTCTTTTTGCAAATGCCCTGAGTAGGCATCGATCCAACACCCTACCCCGGTCTCTCCTCGTTGGCAGGACAGGGGTTTGGTTGGAACCGTTGCAACCGTGCAACCAACATCGAAAACAAGGGTTGGTCAAGGCGCTTCGCCCTTGAACATATGTATCCACATCCTCCGGGGGCCCTCGAGGCGTACATCCGGAGCTGGAGATTTGTGTTCCTGGATCTTGGGCAACAAACGAGGTTTTGGCTCTTGGAGTCTTGATCTACTCACCTTCAAATCTATCCTCAACACTCATTAGAAGAAGCTAAAGGAGTACGGAGGACCACGGACTTGGAGGCTCTCCTCCTCGGTTCTAGAGCCCGCCTCCCCGATGATAATACGCTGCTACTGGAGGAGATATCCATAGGAGGAACGATTGAGCGGGAAGCTTGTCGACAACCTTGCCAAAAGACCACCCCCCTTCTCTCTCATTGTATTTGTGTTTCCCTCTTCCTCGGAGAGATCGAGTAGTCTCGGAGACGTTGTGCAGCCCTCCCCCATCCCATCATCCTCCCAGCGTCATGTACATCCGATAACCCGGAAGATACCTGCAAGCTTCGATCTGGAGATGTTGGTGGCCATCTGGCTCGCTCGCTTGCTCCCTCCTCCTCTTCCTCTTCTTTCCTTTCTTGGTCCGTGATCCCCCAAACCACTTACTATACCCTCTTCCAACCGATAGCATGATAGCATGATTTCTGCTCGAATGTATCTGTTTGCTTCCCCTTCCCAAATCCCGACCCATGCCCAGAGGCCGTACGGGCGCTGCGGTCTCGGCCGTTGACGAATCTGGCCACCTGAGCCGAATCATCGCGCGCGGACTGCGCTCCGTGATCCTTGGAGTTGATTGCTCTTTGATTCGGTATTACTCGCTTTGCCGCTGGCGAACATCTCCTCGGTTATGGCATTGGCGAGTCGACTACGCAATCCATCGACTGTGATCAATGTACCGATATATGAGTGAGAGCGTGTGGGCAGTATGCGCGTGCGCAAGACTTTTGGTCAAAGTTACGAACACTGCATCTTGGTTCGTCTAAGTCGACCGGGGAACTCGAGTATAAAAAGAATAAAGATTTAGTGCAATCGCCCCTCTCTCTTAGTCTTCGCAGATGAGGTGTGATGATTTAGATGACCCCCGTTCTGCGGGCCGATGAGCGGGCGCGGGCTGAGTTTCCCCTTCAGGCCGAGAACCCCGTCCCCGGCCCCCCCCCCCCCCTCCTCTCTCTCCTCTCTTCCGATCTCGAGTTCGTCCGCTATTCCGCACAACGTAAGCTCGCTAGGAGCTTCCCGTTGCATTAATTCAGATGCGTTGAGATTGTTTTATTGACAGGGGTATGAGGGAGAGAGGAGAGGAGAGGAAGGATTCAGACGGCGCAAAGGCTTAAGAGAAAGAGCGGGTGGACTGGAAGAAGAGACCGGGGGGAAACCGGCATAGCTAAGTGAATTGAATGTGTCAGCGATTGTTTGCTTCTTTTGTGGACATGTATATCCATGGATTTGTTGGTATACGAGATGGTAAGCACCTTGTTACTCCTGCTGCGTTTCCTTACGGCAAGCCGCAGCTCATTTTAGTCACAAGACCTCTCCCCGCGGCGCGACTCGGCGCGAAGCCGCGTGTGTGAAACCGCGGCCGGGCCTGATCTAGATCATGGACAGCGAAGGCCTTGATGTCGATCCGTTACGATGTTACATTTCGAGTCAATATTGCCAGTCGAGGCCAGAGCGAGAGACGATCGACGGGCCAATTTCTTTACCTACCAACGTATGCCTTTCTTGGTGGACAAATGCCAGACTGGGCATCGTCGAGGTGCCACATGAGCATGGCCGATCCATCATCTCCCGCCGGGACGATACATTGCCGAGAGAGGGAGTCAGATATCAGTCAGCTCGCCCGGCAAAAGGTCAAGTTCTGCCGGAACCCAAGATCCAGCTCACCGGTCGTGTTCCGGTAGAGGATGCGGACAATGGGATTACGAGAGTCCATTGAAAACGGTCCGATACCATGACACCTCACACCTCACATTTGGCGCCTGTTGGTCTTGTTGGAACTTGAACATTGTGTTGGTTGGGCCACAGTTGGGCTGTTGGACCAGGCCACTGTGACTTTGTCACACGTCTCTCTCCCCTTCCATTTGTTCATTTACCGCTCTTCAGCCCAAAACAACAGGAACGGGGGGACATGGTCGGATTCGGTATTCCGGTTTAAGCGCTCAGCAGCCCGATAGCGTATGCGGCGGTGGTTATGATCAACACGAGTGCGTCACGTTGCCCGCACGTGTCGTTCTCAAACTAGCAGGACTCGGCTAGGAAGCGATCAGCCTGGAGATGGTCGAGGGTGAGTGATGAGTCCGGCGGGATGATCATGTCTTCAGATTATTGCGGTGATTCCAAGCAATGGTTACCAACAGAGCGAAGAAGCAACGATGTGCTATGTTAATGAATGCTCTATGGCGTGTTGGACACTAAACGGGGCCAAACTAGGCGCAAGCAGATGAAAGAAATGAGAAAGTCGGTGACGAAGGCGTCTGGTTGGTCCCAATCTCAATCAGTTCACCCGAGGCAGATAACTGATGAGTTCCAGCGGCATTTGCTGCAGAATATGTTGATTTAACCAAAGCAACTCAGAAGTGGCGAGTGCCATGTGAGCTTCGGTGAACAGTTGAGGAATTTGAAGATATGCGTCGGGGGAATCCACCATCTAGGAGGTTCGACAACCTAGGGAATAAACATGACATCAAATCGTAGTCCAAGAGAGAGAAAGTGGCCTTTGGAAGGGGAAAAGCCCTCTGGCAGTCCCACGGCCTAGTGCAATAAGACTGTATACTATAAGGAAGACTAGCCAAACAGCATCGGGGAGATCAATAACAGTGTAACAGTGCTCCGTGCCACTCGGAGATAAGTAGTACACGGCCGGGCTATCCCAGGCTACCCGCGGCGCGGCGCGGCGGCAGCTAGCCGGATCGATCCGGGTTTCCACTACCAGTCTCGGAGGCGGCGCACATCGGCCGGGGACCAACGGCATCTTCCGGCCGGTAAGGGCATGTCCTAGCCCCCTTCCTTACATCCAACCGACACTCTTCGCCTCTCTTCTAGGCGTGAATGGAAATAGTTGAAGAAAAACACGTTTGGGCACTTCGCCGAACGGATCGTACGTTAGGACGTGTGTACGTCTTTGAAAACACGTGCCGCGACAGACGGTTGGGCCCCAGTTCCTGGTCGTTATTTGCTGAATACGACAAAAAGAATGATACGCGCCATCGGCTTTGTCGGATTCGCGCCGTTGGGTGATGGAGAAGTAAAAAAGAGTTTCTGCCGACTTCGAACGCGCGTCCGTGTTGCAAAAACCAGGGATCAATCAGGAACCGGAGAGGAGAGATGGGATTTTGAGTTGAGGGAAAGGCTCGTTACCAAGCAGCGTTTGTCAGATGCTTTTCATTACCGGGAGGGGGGAAAGATGAGCACCTCGGAAACCCCCTCATAAGAGGAGATGATCGTTCGATAACTGGGAAGATGGGAAAGGCAAAATAGTACTGATGATTCGTATAGCTGTGGTAGGCCTTTTGCGAAATTGTTAAACTCATCACCCGCTCACTCATCAGTAAGGCGCTCGATCCAACCTGGCTGTTTGCGCCGGGTACCATCGCCGGACACCATTGCCGACGAGAGCAGAGAGAGCAAGATGATTGAGGGTCAAACCGCATGAGTTACAGGCCTCTACGCTCTCGAACATGAGATCGCTCCCCAATCGGAAGTCTTCCAGCGTCCGAACAATGTTGAGAAGGGGTGGTTTCGCGAGCTCCGGTGTCCCAAGCTCCTCGTTCGTTCCTGAGCCGCGGCGTCCGTCCCAGTATTTACACTTTCATGTCTTGCGAGTCAAGCTCAATTTGGCTGAGTTCCCGGCGGCAGGGTGCAACCAGCTCAAGGTCCAGCTTCGTACCTACGAATGAAATAGATGTTTAAGTGAGCTTTACCGTGCCGGCCCATCCGTTCTTCTTCAATAGTTTCATTCTTCGTACTCATTATCTAAAGCGTCGTTTGAATCTTCTTAATTGAGCGACAACTGACAGCGCACCCGTTGTCCTATTTAGGAAATTTAAATGCCCACAATCAAAAGGAAGCGCCGATCCCTAAATAAGAAGCTGGGTAATAGAAAACCGGCCTGATGGAAGCCCCGTGCTTATTTTTTGGAACACCCAACCTCAACTGTCAACTTCCCCGTCTTACGGATAACAAGTCCGAGAGGACTTTTGTATCCGTTAAAAAGAGACAAAACGCGTAATTGATCCTTCCAGACACTATCTGGAAAGTGACGTGGTTTTCCTTTTGTTGTCGCCAGCCCAACTGTCCAATGTCCGGGGCACGCAAGTTATCGAACCTATGAGATCGTAGTATGCGACATTGCTGACCTTGCAGCGAGCCGCAATTCGCACTCTTTGGCAACTTTTTTGCGTTTGATGACGGCACAGCTGCGTGGTGCGTGTCTCTTCTCCCCGTCTTCCTCTCTATCTTCCTCTCTTCCCTTTCCTTCCGGGGCTCAATGTCCGCGCCATCGAGACAGATAACGACAGCACACACACACACGCAACCCTTGAAGAGTCGATCCGTCGCGTTTCCTTCTCACTCATTCTTTACCAGTTGTTCCGTTTCTTTCTATTCTTTTTGTTTTCTCCTACCCATGTCGAGAGCACGTCATCCCGCCAATTATTGAAATCACGACCTGTACCCAAAGTCCCAACCCCTACCCCCCTATGAATCCCAATACCTATCCTAAACAGGTAAAAAAGGGGGAATAGCTGCACTCTTCCTCCCATCCTCCAGCAAACGCACGTCGTCACGTCAGACGCAACAACCCAGACAACGCAAGACCGCATCCGGCAGCAGCAGCAACACGCAGCTCGCATAATCAAGAATCGCATTTTATTCTGTCCGTCTTACACTCAGAACGCGTATGCTACTATCGCAGGGAGGGCCCCCGTTTCAGAACTCTGCGCGTGTCTGAGAGCCTAGTCCAGACCCCGTCAAACCCCCAATTCGCATCGGCAATAAACTGGCATCTCATCCCAGGGATAAGATTGTACTCTGCAGCTACATATACATCTTGGAGTCTCCTCTTTATCTTCCCTTTTCTACTTATCTCTTGACTACCCACACCTCGGCATTTCGCGCCATTGCTATATGTTGAGGATACCGGCTGTGGCATACCGGATATCCTGTGCGCCTTCATCTCGCATATAACAACGGCCAGACCTCATCGTTACACAGATCTTTGCAACTCGATTCCAACACTGCTCATCCACAGAACCCAACTCACAAGGACGGCAACCGTACACACTTCAAGATGCGGTCCCGCGCCGAAAACTCAGACGAAGACACCGTCGTCGACGACGCCGGCTCTCCAAGATCGTCCACAGACTCATCAACAGAGTCGACCCCCCTCTTCGCAACCTCTTCCTCAACAGCACCCAACAAGAGACCAGCAACAGGCCGCAGCAGAACAGACTCCCTCCTCACCGCAGCGACCCAGCTCCACGTCCCCAAACTCCACAACGCAGACGCCATCGTCGCGACCTTTGTCACAATCATCCTCCTCGGCGCCGGCTTCGGCGGCCTCTGGACCATCCCCACCACCCGGAAAGTAGAAGACATCGTCTGCCGGCAGTACTACGGCGTCCTCTACACCCAGGACGCCATCGACGAATCCAAGTGCAAGGAGGACGAGATCCAGAGCGAGGTGGCCATGATCTTCGCCGTCTACAGCGCGCTGCAGGCGTCCATTGGTGCCGTGTCCGCGTTTCCATGGGGAATCGTGGCGGACCGGCTGGGGAGGAAGCAGGTTTTTTCGTTGGCGGTGTTGGGCCAGATGCTGGATCAGGCGTGGTTTCTCGTCGTGTGTGCGTTTCCCAAGGTGATTCCGCTCAAGGCTTTGTGGGTTGGGCCGTCGATGTTGCTCGTTGGCGGGGGCAACGCTGTGTTATCTGCGGTGGTGTTCTCGATGCTCTCTGACGTGACAACCTCGGAGAACAGGTTCGTTCCCTTCTTTGGTATTTTCTCCTCCCGTATGTACAGCCTGCTAACACGCCGAACAGAGCCAAGAAGTTCATGGCCGTCCACCTGGCCTCCATGATCGGAAACCTCTGCGCTCCCGCCATCGCAGGCTGGATGATGGAACGAACCGGCCCTTGGCCCGTAATGTGGCTCGCCTACGCCGGCTTCGCAACCCTCCTCTTCACAATCCACCTCGTCCCGGAAACCAAACCTCCCGCCGCCAAAGTCTCCTCAGACCCCATCGCCGACTCCCCCGAAGCAGACTCCCCCGTCATCGGCACAATCCAACACACCTTGGCCCGCCTCAAAGAATCCATCGCCCTCCTCAAGAACCCCTCCCTCGTAATCCTCATGGTCGCCACCCTAAGCTCCTACCCAGTCGTTATGTCAACCTACCAATTCATGACAATCTTCGCCTCGAAGCGGTACCACGTCTCCCTCTCCCAAACAGGCTACCTCTCCTCCCTCTACGGCTTCGGCGTCTTCCTCACCATCGTCGCCGTCCTCCCCGCCCTCTCCAGGCTCCTCGCCTCCGCCAAAGCCCCGAAACCGCTACGCTACACAGACGACCACGAGCGCGACCTCTTCCTGGGCCGCCTCTCCTCCGTCGCCCTCCTCCTCGGCGCGCTGACCATGTCCGCGTCCCCGACCATCGGCGCCTTCATCGGCGGGCTGGCAATCCTGGCGCTGGGTTCCGGGTGGGGGAGCTACGTGCGGAGTCTCTGCGCCGTGTACGTTGACGCGGCACACCGCACGCGGTTGTATTCCATCATCTCGCTCGTCGAGACGGCGGGGCAGACATACACGCAGCCTATGCTTGCTGGTTTGTTTAGTCTGGGGATGAAGCTTGGCGGGGCGTGGATCGGGCTGCCGTATCTCGGCGTCGCTGGGTTCTGCGTCGCTGCTTTGGGGTTGCTTCTCATGGTTAGGCTTCCGCCTGCGGAGGGTAAGGGGGCGCATGCGATGGGGGATGATGGTGAAGATGTTGGTGCGAGTGCTCAGTAATGATGGCTTCTTTTTTTCCTTTTGTTGGCTTTTTTGTGATTTTGTAAGAATTGGCGAGAATCAAGATACCAAGACGTAGATTGAGTAGATCCCAGCACTTGAGCCTGGGGAAGAAATTCGAGAATAGAGAAGATTTGCAATACTCCCCTTGGAGACTGCCTTGAAAAAGTGTATCAAGCTGTTGGCGGTAGACCCCGGAGAGATTCCATAGGAGCCTGACGTCTGCAAGAACAAGATCGGCGCAAGCTCTAGGAATGTCGTCCGCGTGAAAGCCGGCATTCAACGGCATCAGGTGGTGTAACCTACTTCCCGTAGAACAATTGATGAAAAGAAAAGGATTCAGATGCGTTTTGGCGGTAGCAAGATCGCGGTCTCCATCATTTTGAATGGTGATCTGCTCGACACGAGTCCTCTTTCCCAACGGCACTCTTGATTCACGGCGACCCTTAAATGTATAGTATAGAAATATCCAATGAGTCGCAGGCATGCGTTTAACAACGTACTACTGACGAATCATCGGATGAGAATCCGCCGTATTGTCGCAGTTGATATGGAACTCCTTGTGAGCAGCATAGCACTAGCTTTACAAAGTGCAAAGGGGGGGGCGGAAGCGATGTTTCTATACTAGGTCTAACTTAACCCAGCTTACTTCTACGAAACCAACTGTACAAGACTGCAGATACCAAAGAAGGGAATCATGTATCAACCAAATGAGAACTCACCATTCGTATCGTCAACGCTGACTTTTCCTCCCTCCCTATCCCCGCCTCAACCTCCGGCGTCCGACGTACCCCCAGAGACTCGCACCTTGCTGCAGAACCCTCAGGCAGCGATGGGAAATACTCCTCTACCGTCCATCTTCAACGCCGTAAGAGGGTGACTGTACGCCATAGAAGGCCTCCTCTTGTCTCAATGGCCCTCATCGAAAAGCAATCCCCTCATTCGCGATGGGTAGTGATGAGCGACAATGGAGTCAGTGCCTGAAGTTCCTTACCTTAGGTACGCAGTAGTTTGAGTCTTAGCAAACGGGTTTTATTACCCAGGATATATCCCCACTTATCTGTGAATTTTGGCCAATGAGCACATGGTTGTCACCACGGGCCTTTGGCTTAGTGGAAGCGTCTGATCATCAACTCCGGATATATTGACTTCTACAAAGCAGAATCACTTGCTTGCCTGCTCGCCCATTTTCAATTTTGAGCACACGGAATCATGGAGTCAATAGATACACTGCCACAACTGTGTAGATAAATTAGTGCGATACGCAGCAGTACGTACGAGCTCACCTCCAAGGGAGATGCAGCGGGTGGCAGCCGAGGATCGCGGGGCGATCTGCAGGGCGTTGGCGCCCTCTCTCCCGGGGCCGGGGGTCGAATGGTGGGGCACAGCCACAGCGACCAACGCTGCCCACAAGATGACGGCGGACGCTGAGAGCCACTTGTCCATCGGCTTCAAGGGTCTTCCCCAGCGGAGGGCCGTTTCAGACGACAGGGGCAGCGCTTAGTCGTACGTCATTTCCATTGGGAGAAGAGAAGGGGAAAAATAGGAGGAGGGCGAAGTTCCTGGCTCATCCTGCGCATATATGCAGTCAGACTTTCCCATCAGGATCTGATCTGCAAAGTTTGACCTTGGTTCGAGTCCAACTGTCGAAGCAGATCAAATCGCCATCTTGACCGACTGGCCAGTCGATAGTGACCACAGCCGATATTCGCGTGACGGCTTCACTCGTTCAGCCTTATCCCTCGAGACTCCCCTCCAGTCTACCCCTTAACACCAGTATTGCTCGACCTTGCATCTCTTTTCGAAAAAGACGACAGCTCCGACGAACTTCTTCGATTCCACCACCGAAATGTCCGTCTTTGACAGTCCGAATTGCACCGTCGCGGAGAATGCACCGGTCGCCAGCGATGCCGGCGTGGCTGGCCGAGGCGTGCTCCTCTCCTTCATCATCACAGCCGGTCTCGCTCTCATCATTAGTTCCTCCATCATCTTCCAGGAGATGAAGGGAAACCCGTCAAACATTCGTCGAAAACTTCTCAACAGTTATTCAGATCAGCAGATCCTCCAGGGCATCGGAATCGCGTGCGTCGGGCTCGCCAGGATCAACGTCATGGTCCCCTATCACTTCTTCATCATTTGGATGCTCTCAAATCTCTCCATGGCCGTCCACAACGCGACGCTTCTCGCTCTGGTCCACGATTTCCGCCGAGATTGGGTGTTGCGATGGCTCCGCCAATTCCTCATGTTTGTCAATCTAACGCTGAACGTCGTGTATGGCGTCTTCATCCTGCAAGGCGTATCAAAGGGTATGCAGGAATCCAAGCTGCCCGTTGCTTGCGTGTGGGTGGTCGGCAACGAGGGAAAAGGAAACCAACAAGGGATCAGCTACGTCGGCACCGTTGTTGTCATCATCGCGAACGCTCTCGTCTTTGCTCTGGCAAGCTGGTACCTCCACCTTCGGACGCAAAAGTTCATCAACATTATCAAAATTATCGGCATCCTTCTTATGGCAGCGTCGGCTGTTGGCGCCGCGGTTCGATGCATCATTGCTTCTGATGCCTTTGGCAATGGCCCTTCGTACGAGCTGAGCGACCAGGGCGAGAGAGGTTGGGGTTTCGGTCAGCTGCTGTCGCTCCTCGTGCTGCTGTTCCCCCTTGTGTCCATGGTGGAAATCATGCGCGGCGATATCAAAGTAGCGCCCTGCGACTTTTCAGACGGAAAGATGGGCGACAGCACAGAGATGGGCAACTACCGGTCGTCGTATCAGCCAAACCCGTTTTTCGGCTCGCAGACAAATCTCTTCAAGAGGGGGGGTTGAAGTTGGTGTGATTGTACAAAGGGAAAAGGGAAATGAAGACACAATCCAGAAGTGGACCTCATCTGGTGATATCGTTCCCCGTCAATTGAGAAAGCAGAGCCGAGCCAAGGGTCTGTCTATCTAGTTTGTGAAGACGGCATAAGGGACGCGCGTGGCTGCAAGGATCTCGTATACGGAGTAGGGGCACCCGCCATTGCTGCTGTCGATACTCGGAACGTAGAAGGGCTGCTGGAAGCTAGGGCTGCGAACTGCTGGTGGTGTTGATTGAAGAGGAGGCAGAGGTGGAGAAGGACATTCGGAAAAGCAATGATACCCAGGATAAGAGCGCCACATGGTGAGGAGTTGGTGGGAGCGAGCAGTGGAACAGACGGCGCGGGAGGGCGGGAATGAAGGTTATCAAGTTAGCGCGTCTCGACATTTTTCAGCTGTTGGTCGTTAGCCAAAGTTAGCTTCCCTTTGAATTAGGGGTAAAAGGTGTCTCGAGGAGGACTGACAGGACTGGACAATCTGACACGATTGTATCACGAGCAATAGCGAGGCTTTATTGGACGCCACCGTCGGACCTGAATGCCATTCTAATGCAGGAGAATAAAAATGCATTTTCTCGTCGGTTCAGCATTGCGACTACAGAAGAGGACACTTTGGAGGTTGAGGCAGATATCCTTACTACCGTAGCTTCGCACCGAGGGGAAAGAAAGAAAGGAAGCGCCTGATACTTCGATGCGGAGTATTGGATAACAATTGATCGCCCACCTTCTCCTGTTCCCCGGTATCCCGCACATCAACCTCCACTATTCTATGCTGCCTTCGTGCTTCCCCGTCCCAGCTTTTGAACTCTAAATGCAGTCGGAGTCCCTCAATTGACCGAACTGCGTCACGTGCACCCGACAGAACGGCACTTTCCCATCCATGTAGCTGCCAGTCGGCACCTGCCCTTGGCCCTTCGAATGGTAGCAGCCAAGAATAAGATGCCTCCTTCCCAAGTGCATCGGCCATTTTGAGGCTAGTCAATCAGTTGAATACCTTACTCTGGGCTTGGCTGGGTATCCCCACTCTCGACGCCAAACACGACATGTTTCGGTGCAGTACTAAATCTATCTCGGACACAGCAAGAAGTATGCCCTCCAGTGCCTCCACAGATACAAGGCGAGAAAAGGTACCCCGTACCTACAAGCCAACAAGATGCACTTTGGCTTCTTGGGAGGCGCTTATCTGTGGCACTTGCCATCTTTTCTAGCCTGCTCCTGAGGTACCTTCTCAAGTGCCATCCATCTCTTCCACATTTCAGAGTTCCTTCCAATGGCACCCAAGGAATGAGCGAACAATGTAGTTCCTTCCCTCTCCCAGGTATGGACCCAAACCCCTCGCAAGTCGCAAGGAAGGGAGGCAGAGACACACGCCTTGGCTCCCTGCCCGTTCCTGCCCGTTCCTGCCCCGAGAATGCCACGCTCAACGTGCTGGATCATCACGGGAAGTCACTCAGGGCAGGCGTGGCAGTCACGCAGTGCAGGCAATCGCAAGTTCAGTCTCGTACCTCGGTGACTTCCTCGTCTCGCCTTCCTTCTGCCTTTGGATCTCGAGATCCGCAAGGGTCTGGAAGTCTGGAGGGAGGAACCTGGCCGCCACCCCTCCCCTTCCATTCACACAATGCTCCGGTCCCTCTGTCCCCATCACACGACGGCCGACGACTGCCCAGTCCAAGGAACCTTAAGTAGTCGTCTATAAGCTTCCTCTTTTTCCTGCTCTCGCCTCGTCCTCGTACTGACGTTTTCATCCATCCTTGGCGTGACTCGTCTCCTTTCCCCTTATCTCCTTGGCCTCCTCACTCTTCTTCTTCCAGTCGCTCTCTTGGCACTATTCGAGAGATCTGCGCAAGTCCACTTCGTCCGCCCGTGGCTTGCCCTTCTCCCCGCGCCGGCTGCTGACCAGCGCTGATTGCGGTTCTTGTTCTTCTCATTCACTTTCTCCGTGACGCCCATCGTCGTGCCTTCATCGATACTGTACCCCTCGATTACGTGTCGATTCTGTCCACTTCCGCCAGAGTGACAGCTGAGCCTCCACGAATCGACTTATACACTCGAATTCCCAGCAAATCTCCAGAAAACCCCAGTCACAAAAGACAACCTCTTGATAGCAACCATGGCCCTCGCTGCAGGCTCCAAGCGCATGGTGCAGATGCTATGGCTCGCCGCCGGTCTGCTCTTCACCCTCGCTCTGCTGCACTCCCTTGGTAGCCCTGATAAGGCCAAGGAATGGGCCAGCAACAAGGTCGGCGCCCTCGTGAACAACGATGGCGGTCGCAACACCATGAAGGAGTTCATGGCCACTGCCGAGTCCATTTGGGCCAAGACTGTCAAGCAGCGTCACGACATGATTGCTGAGGACTACGGTGATGCCTCGTTGATGCCTTTGTAAGCCACCTCCATTTCGCCGCCGCCGCACTCCCCGTATCCACTAGATGAGGATTCGATGCCGACACCGTCGTAGATTACATGGCTAACCAATATTCCCACCAGGTTCCCTGCCACCGACCCCGCGGCCTACGGAAAGCACCCTTACTCCGTCTGGGACTTTGCCCCGGCCTCGTACAGCTGCCCTCACGAAATGGAGCGCGTCGGACGTATGGGAGACGGCGGCAAGTGGGTGTGCGGCATGTCGAGATATGTCAACTTCCCCAGAGACCGCGAGTGTGTCATCTACTCCTTTGGTGTCCGTGATGAGTCCAGCTTCGGTAAGGGTCCCTTGCATGCAATATGGCAAACACCTATTTCCCTCTTTGTTTGAACAATCACTGATGACGCACCTCCAGAGAACGAGATGCTGAGCCGCACCAACTGTGTTGTCTGGGCCTACGATTTCTCCGTCGTCGACTTTGGTGAGCAACTCGAGCCCGGCAACCGTGCCAGAGCCCACTTCCTCCAGGCCGGTATCTCTGGCAAGACGGATAAGACCAAGACGCCCCCCTTCTACAGCATTGCCGACCTGATGAAGATGAACGGCCACGAGTACATGTACGTTCCATTTACGCTGAAGTAATAACGATCATCCACTAATACCACACCAGTGACATCTTGAAGATGGACATCGAGTTTGCCGAGTTCGAGGCCATGGACGGTTTCGGCGAGGACTTCCCCATCCGCGCCGGCGAGGAGCTCCCTGTTGGCCAGCTTATGATTGAGATTCACTTCTTCAACGGCATGACTGCTTCTAACTTCCTCGACTGGTGGGAGCGTCTTGAGTCCCGTGGTCTCCGCCCTACCTGGACCGAGCCCAACCTGCTCGCCGTCACCCTGAACTTGGGCAACAAGGACCCGCTCCTTGCCGAGTACACCATGATCAACGTCCACGACAGCAAGAACGTTGTCTTTGGTGGCAGACACTAAGTGGGCTATGTAAACATTACTTTGTTATTGCTGGCTTGATAGGGAGCGTACTGCACGGGGCGAAAATGTGCATGGTCACTGGCGTTATTTACAGTAGATCGGTCAACATGGGAAACTCGTTTCAATAAGTGGTTGAGTCTTGCCTGCCTGTGCTATCAGTGAAATCGTACGATGCCCTACAATCGCTCTGCCAATCATAGTAGAGCTAGATGGATTGAAGATTCGTGGTATCACAGCAGATCTGCGAGTGTCCCATAGTCAATCCTCTTCTGACAGGGATGCCAAGACGCGCTGGTTCGCCGAGATTGTGACCTCAATCCCTCGCTAGCTGGAGAGGTGGCTCGGTAAAATTCATATTGCAGATGTAGCCAACGAATCGCAGAGCAGTAAACATTGTGGAGGGTTTTTCAGGGGTCTGACCAAATCTTATCGCGAACGTCTGGTCTTCACGAGAGTGTACTGTTGCAGCTTGTCAATTGGGCATTTTCACACCCCCAAATTACCTGAGGGATTGGAAAGTGTAAGAATGGATGGGTGGTCTGCAAGATGGGTTGTCACTAATTCCCCTTGAGCCCAGACCTTTAAGTATTCTATCCTGTATCGCTCTACGGCGAACTACATACAGTAAGTTTAACCTGAACCAGAAGTCAGTTTTCTTACTACGGGGAGCTCCCCGGTTGTCCATCGAATCACTCCACTTGAGTAGGCATGGTTGGAAGGGTTCATCCGCTGCCGTCGCATACATACTAAGGGTTGGTCAAGATGTGTTCACTAGGGCTTAGCGAGGCAGTCATGTCACTCCATAGAATAACTTTGAAATATATCAATAGTAAGTGAGGTATCATTATTATCTTTTTTTTTCAGTAAATTTCCCACGGCATAATGGCAAAAACAACCCCGTCCTTTCATTGCACGACACATTTGCTGGGCAGACCGCACGGTCCGGCCTTGACATCCTTGTCGTCCAACTCCTGAGGGGCCTTTCGGGTCTCCGTCGCCGGGGCCGGCTCCTTTGCTGCCGGAACCGCGGGGTCCGCCTTCGCCGCCGCCGGCTTCTCGGATCCGTTCACCCCATTCGCAACGGCGGTAGCACCACCGCTCTCGCTGCCATGCAGTCAACCGACGTGCTTGGCAACGGTGTGGTAAAATGCCTCGCCCTGGATCGTAGCAATCTCCAGCTCCTTCGCCGAAGGCTGGCGCGATCCATCAGCGCCCGCGAAAGTACCCGCGCCCCAGGGGCCACCACCGTGGACCTCGGACAAGTCCGCCATGAGCGGGAAGGCCTTGGCGTACCCGAACGGAACGTAGATGATGCCGTGGTGGGCGAACGTCGACATGGCGGCGATGGCGGTGGACTCCTGACCTCCGCCGAGGGAGGCGGTGGAGATGAAGAGGCCGGCGAGCTTGCCCCAGTAGCCTCCCGTGGACCACTGCTTTCCGGACTTGTCCCAGAAGGCCTTCCACTGGGCGGGGAAGTTGCCGTAGCGGGTTGGGATGCCGAGGAGGAAGGCGTCGTAGGATTCGAGGGTGGCGGGGTCGTCTAGGACGGGGACGTCTGTTGCTTTTGGGGGGGCGCCCATTTTGGTGAGGACCTCTTCGGGGAGGGTCTCTGCGACTCTGTTGTGTGTTAGTCATGGCATGCTGGCGTTTATGTGTGTACGGGCAAGGTGTGTCGTGAGGGTGAGGTATGGGGGGGGGGGAGAGACGTACTGGAAGAGGTCGGCGGTGCCGCCGGCCTTCTCGATGCCCTTCTTCTCGGCCTCGGCCAATTGGCGGATGTGGCCGTACATGGAGTACTGGAAGATCGTGGTGTTAGCAGGACGGTCATAATGTCAAGGGGGGCTATTCTTCGGGAGTTTGGGATAGGGTAGCGGTGGGTGTGAGGTGTGAAGGTGGGGTTCAGGGCGCTCTCTTGCGGGCGAACAGGTCGTATCATGGTGTCATTAACGGCGTCGGCAGAGGAAGCCGCGCAATCGAATGGAATGGGAATGTGTTTGTGTGTGTGTGTGTGTGTGTGTGTGTGTGTGTGTGTGTGTGTGTTCATTTCATTGTGTCTCTGAGATGGTGATGGCAGATTTTTAGAGGCATTGGAGCACTCAATGGTTGAGACTGCGGTGTGTGTGGTGGGAGAGTGAGGTGAAGTAAGGTGATGTGGGGAAGGGGGGAAGTGACAAGAAATTACCCGATTAGGAAAGAAGTGCTAGGTTGTAGTAAATAGTGGACTTACGTAGACGATGGCAATCTTGGGAGCCATTGTGACGGATTGATGTCTTGTATGGAGATAAGGGAAAGGAAGAGTGAATTGGTGCTCAATAGAGAGATGCTGGGTGTAGATATCGAGACAACAAGAGGGGGAGGTCGTGGCCTTATATCAACATGAACAGGCGCGCGCAACCCCCGCCGAGCATACGAGACAGAGACAAGGTGACAAGCAAAGATGGGAAAGAGAGGGGAACGAGACGGGCGTCTTGCATCATCAATGGCACGCTAGGCTGGGCAAAGCCACTGGAAAGACTCGATGGGAGTCGGACGAGGGAAAAGAGAGAGAGGAATGCAGAATGGGGCTGGGCTGGGCCAGTCGGGTACCCTTGGGATGCGGTTTCATCAGGCTCTTCGGCCTAGTGGGAATTAGCTACAGTAGAGCCATTGAGACTATCCGTACACGAGAGATATGCTGCCATGGCTGCTCATGTAAGGTGAAGTCAGCAAGACGACGGACGCAGTTGGAAGTGGTGGAGGAGATGTGGTGGTGAGGTACCTGGAGCTTTTGCAGGAGGTGGGGAGCTAGGTAGAGTTGTACGTACCGCTGGTGTCTGCCCCTCTCTGCGGGTCTGTGCTCCACTGAGGGGCAGGGGAGGGGTTCATGTCCTTTCTGTTGCCCGTAGGTATCATTTGACAAGTACCTTGCTTCACTCATCTTCCAAGCTGCTTGCTAGTAGGTACCTTGAGATGAGTTTAGTTCGCGAGTTTGACGACGGCATCGTAGGTTCGGTCAACGGACGGGAGAACCGATTAAGCATCAAACGGGTGCGGGTGAGATGGAATGCGACGGGCTCTTCAAGATCATGGTTTGTTTTGGCGTTGGGGTGTGATGGTCCCGAAGAACACCCAAACGACCATCCGTAGACTGTAGTAAGGTAACCTAGGTACGTACGTTACCCCATCCGAGCCCTGTCAAGCTACCTTACCACCATACCTTGCTTCATCTGCACAGCATCCAATACTACCTACGTAAGGTGGTGACAGCCGGGGAGACCACGGCCAGCAGTTCGCAAACGGTCAGGGCGGGCCGGAGAGAGAAAGTGACAAAAAGTGTTGGTGTGTGGGTGCTG